TTCTTCCGTGGGTCCTACTTTGGGCATCTTTTGCATCACTCTGCAATACTGGTTAATATTATTCACTATGCACACAACATACATTATATACATAAAACACTGGCTGCCTGGCATCAACAACATTGTAAATGATATATATTATTATGTATTTGTGTGTATACCTGATGCTGTTGTTAACTAATACCTAATATATCATGTTGTAGGGACCAAATGTCCCCTCAAGTATAGCAGAAGCAGTACATTTTAACCTAATGGGGCCTTTTTTGATTCCATGCATGAGGATGGTATTTTAAAAATGTAAAACTGCAGAATGTTTTCTGTGTTAAGGGTTTGGGGGATAAAATAATCAGTCTGTACAGTATAAATAACAAAGTTTAATTAAAAAGCATTATTATTATTATTATTATACTATTATTATACTATTATTATTATTATTATTATTAGTATTATTAGTATTATTTTATTATTATTATTATTATTATTATTATTATTATTATTATTATTATTATTATTATTATTATTATTATTATTAATAATAATAATAATAATAATAATAATAATAATAATAATAATAATAATAATATGCTTTTGCAATCATGCCTTCATGGCCACTTTTAATCCTAGAATCCAACTTGTATAACTGACCACAAATAAATTAGGTTAAATTACTTTACAGATCACTTTAGTTAATCCAGATGAGAAGGAAAATCATATAAAATAAAATAATTTAATGGAATAAAACCATAATTACATAAAATAAAAAAATAAACACTTTGGAATAAAATTAAAATAAATACTTTATGATAAAAGGTCTTTAAACAACCATGTAAAACCAAATGTCTATTCATAGAATGTTCTGGAACAGGAGGATGGAGGTTTATCACTGTGTATTGTGTTAATATTCATATACACCCTCCATTTAGAGTGATTGTTCGCTCTTTATCTCGTGGGGCTTCTGTCAAGCAATTTAGCATTTCATTAGCTTAGCTTGGCCAAATGAGGCCAGAAGCATTGTGAATGAGAATTATTTTGATCACTCCTGACAAGTGTAATGGTACGTTATTAAATCCATTTAAACATCTAAAATCCTATCAGTCCTTAAAAGAACCATTAGAGCCTTTACGAAGAACCATTTGTGCAAAATATAAAGTTCTATGAATGCTAAGGTTTTTCATGGAATCTTTGATGCTAATAAAGAACCTTTATTTTTGAGGGTTCCTTTGGTTTTTGGCGGGTTTGAGGCTCATTTTATGGCTGTGTTGGGCTCTGGTGGTCTTGAGACTGAGTTGCCAGCAGTAAAAGGTGTGTGATGGAAGCTATAAATCAAAACCAGACTAAACTGTTCTGATGCTGGATCAGCCAACCAGATGAAAAATCAGTCCAACTCTAACTCGACCACCAACATGCCAGACATTAAGAAATTAATTGCATATAATTGTAGTCTAATAACTGAGGATATGGTTTGGCAGTTGGCTAAATTGGCTTAAATAGCAAGGCGGTCTGTCATCTTTCACATCTCTTGAGTTTCAGAATAACAAATATACACTCACACAGATGCCAAGCAGATTACACACATCCTGAACACCCAGTCTTAGTATGGTTGTAAAAGCTTTGCTTATATATGCACAACTAGGTATGCTTGTCAAGTGTTTTTGCTGTACGTATAGGTGTAGATATAAAATCGGTGATGATCCAACTAATAATATCAACACAAATGTTAAAGAAAGTGTGTAGACAGGAGGTGAGAGGACATTCCTCACCGCCCACACTCTTACAGCTGTGTTTTCTCTTAAGGTCTTCATTTCAGATGTGTGTGTGGGTTTTTCTTCAGTCATTGTGGTTGGTGATACACGGATTAGATCAGAGCTGATTTTAACGGCAGCCTTCGTTAAAATCAGGCCTACTCAAAAACACAACCTTGTACAATGTAAAAAAATAATTTGACAAAAACAAAAACAGTTTTTATGTTATTTTTTTAATCAAGTTTTAATTAATGTTTTGAATGGTATACAATGTTTAACTTAATGTTTTTAATCAGTTTGAAGATTTGGGATGAGATTGAAGTTGAGATGACTAGAAAAGTTCAGTTGATTTAACTAAAAACAATGAAGGCAATTCAGAGATAATAATTTACAGTGTGGGAATTCACAGTTACAGCTATTTTACAAAATTTTGGCCAAATTGGTGGCTAATTTTATGCATTTGCAACATTTTGTGTGACCTTTATATGAGTAACCACCAATTTGCCAAGTAATTGTTATGCTTATAAGAGGGCGACACAACTTTTAGTTCTCCCCTCCCGCCCAAAATAATGCAAATTCATGTTCATATCAAAATCAGCTAAATCAAAATCAGCAAAAACGTTTGCTAGGAAAGTCTTCCTGTGTATCAAAATGTGTAGCGTCTTTATTCCTTGGCGTTTTTAAGGCCAAAAAAAGAGCTCCGTTTGGGAAAACTTAACTTAACAGTAATACAAAACACACACACGCACACACAGATGATATCATAAAATAGGATTATATTTATTTGTATATTTCTCATTGTTTTACTTGAATTACGTATCATTTGATTTATTCAAATAATATATATTTACATTTTTATTTTTATTTTAATCATAATAATTATTACTAGGGCTGTCCATGACTAAAGATTTATGTAACTGCCACTAGGGCTAAGCATGAGCCTTCAAATCTAATGAAAAATACGTTTTAGTTTTAATAAGATGCCAAAAAAAGCCTAGACATTAAATAAAACTGCTAAATAAAATACAGGCTAATGACACACACCAAAACATTACAAAAATATGGCCAGTTATAACTGACTGTCTCTATTGTCATTTCCTTTCGTTCTCATTTCTTTTTCACAATATAAGAATACAACACAAGTTTGCCTGTATGTTGTTGGGAAAAAGTGAGCTTCGTCTCTTATTCACAATTAAACCAGCCTTAAAGGAAATGGACTCCGATGGAGTAGATGTGGAAGGGGATGGATAGATAATGGGAAGGGATGGATGGTTTCACATTTTCCATTTATTAACAAGTGGATTTTTTAGATCCGCTTAAAGATGGTGCGTGTTTTTGCGCTGCTAAGCTGCAATGGACCCTTTTCACATTTCTGGGTTTCATAGTTGTCATAGTTGGCAATAATAACTTAGAGCGCAGTGAATGGGAGAATACAATAAAGATATTTTATACAATCATATTTGCTGAAATAATAAAAAAGAAAAAACACAAGAGTTATCAAGACTTTAAGAAAAATTTTATGAAAAAAATTCTGTAAGACTGATAATGGTAACCAGAAGAGAGAGATACATAAAATTTTCTGTCCTGCCCCATAGACGTTGCATTTACGCCTCAAACAGTAATTTCATATGTTTAAAAAAAAATCTAAATAATAAAATCTTTCAAGGATTTAAGATGCAGATGACTGTTGCATGCATCATAACAGTCTTGTGAAAAGGGTCCATAGTTTTTCCAACTGCCGACTTTTAAAACACGCAGAACGTAAATGCATGGTCAGCATTCGGCTACATACATATACACTTTGGTGGACATACGCACTTACTGTGCCACTTGTTGTGTATTTATTTCCTGCAACTGACTGACTAAGAAAAACTTGCTTGACCAAGCCAGTTCTGGTCAACTGTTGATTAGTCGACTATATGGGGCATAAAGTAAATAGATAGATAGATAGATAGATAGATAGATAGATAGATAGATAGATAGATAGATAGATAGATAGATAGATAGATAGATAGATAGATAGATGGATGGATGGATGGATGGATGGATGGATGGATGGATGGATGGATGGATGGATGGATGGATGGATGGATGGATGGATGGATGGATGGATGGAAGGATGGATGGATGGATGATAGAAAGAAATTAAGATGGATGGATGGATGGATGGATGGATGGATGGATGGATGGATAGATACTGTAGACAGATAGATGATTGATAGATAGATAAATAGACAGACAGACAGACAGACAGACAGATAGATAGATAGATAGATAGATAGATAGATAGATAGATAGATAGATAGATAGATAGATAGATAGATAGATAGATAGATAGATAGATAGATAGATAGATAGATAGATAGATAGATAGATAGATAGAAGTATGGATGGATGGATGGATGGATGGATGGATGGATGGATGGATGGATGGATGGATGGATGATAGAAAGAAATTGAGATGGGATGGATGGATAGATAGATACTGTAGACAGACAGACAGATAGATAGATGATTAATAGATAGACAGACAGACAGACAGACAGACAGACAGACAGACAGACAGACAGATAGATAGATAGATAGATAGATAGATAGATAGATAGATAGATAGATAGATAGATGGATGGATGGATGGATGGATGGATGGATGGATGGATGGATGGATGGATGGATGGATGGATGGATGGATGGATGGATGGATGGATGATAGAAAGAAATTGAGATGGATGGATGGATAGATAGATACTGTAGACAGACAGATTGATAGATAGATAGATAGACAGACAGACAGACAGACAGACAGACAGACAGACAGAAAGACAGATAGACAGATAGACAGATAGATAGATAGATAGATAGATAGATAGATAGATAGATAGATAGATAGATAGATAGATAGATAGATAGATAGATAGATAGATTACAATAAGGAATTAAAATAACATACAAAAATCCTGTGTCACAAGTGCGGCTGAAGTATAAAACCTCGCCTTTCCACTGAGTGCTTTTAACTGGTTTATTTTGCTATAGTGGTTTATTAAATGATTGGAGTGTGTTTGGTGTGTCAGTGACTAACACTGATGGGAAACGGCTGGATCTGAGCAGATACGACCACACACACAAGCCGCACAAGATACTTGTAAATAATCTTTTGCGCCATTTTCATTGCAGTTCAACCCTCTTGTAAATATCTTTAACCTCACAAAGTGTAGCTTGTAGCTTGACGTCATCTTTTGTCTTTTTGTTTTTCTCCAGCTGTTCAGCGGTTGCAGAGGCAGAAGAGCTTTGGCGTTGGTTTGGCCTGCAGGACTTGATGATTCGAGCAGTCTCTGAAATCTCCGTATGTATGTATGCATGCCAAGCATAAGGCAGACAGAGCTGCTTCAGTCTTGCCACTTTTGACTTGAAGCAGTTCTGAGATTGAATCCAGATTGTTCACAGAAGTTGAGTCATTGGTCCGATTCCCCTTTTGCATTGTGTAACTAAACCGCTGAATGGCGTGAGATCTCTGAAACAATGATTCAAAGTCTGTCAGGTCAGGATGTCTACAGGAAATTTGAATGTGTGGTTTTCACATGTCTAATTTATGGCTCGCTGACATTAAATACCATTTGGGAAGATCACATCCTGCAGTGTGACATGCTAAATGGCACAATAAAAAAGGTGTAAATATATTATTTAAAAGTGTGGTTATAGTTTACAAAAAATCTCATTTGTTCATGTTAGTCTGACACGTTCACATGATGACAATTTTAACCAACAATGAGCGACATTTATGATATAGTAAAAAAAATACTCATTAATCATTCGTAACCATGTAAATATTAGAAAATATTGAATTGTACATAATTTTTGTTAGTTGGGAGTGCCTTATTTAATGTTAACAAAGGTCAATTTTAATTTAAAACATGAAAAATAATAATTAAAACATGTAAATATATTAACAGAAAGATAACCAAACAATTATTATTAATTAAATCATAAGTCCAAGGCACTTAAAAAAAAGTAAGTGAACAACCTAGGCACAGTAGTGTTGTTTTTAAAAAGGTTAATAAAGGCTTTTTAATAGTTTTGTTCACTTATTTTTGAATGCCTTGGACTTATGATCTATATCTAAAGAGTACCGACACATTAATTACCCCTGAAGCACATTTAGTTTGATCTTGGATTTGTGTATTATCAATCGTTTAAATTTCCATTGACTAACATTAATAATTACTGTTTGTTCATGAAAAATAATATATTTAACTAATAAATTACTACACATTATTGGTGTTACTAATATTATTCACAATTATATCATGCGTTTAGCTTTGTGAATCTCAATTATCAGATATGAAAGAGCAGTTCTGCTTCTATTATCATACATTTCTTAGTAATTTTCAAAATATTTGTTTATAAAGCATTCATTTATTCATTCATTGATTTTCTTTTCAGCTTAGTGCCTTTGTTAATCCGGGGTCACCACAGTGCAATGAACAGCTAACTCATCCAGCACATGTTTTACGCAGAGAATGCCATTCCATCTGCAACCCATCTCTGGGAAACATCCAAACACGCTCATTCACACTCATACACTACAGACAATTTAGCGTACCCAATTTACCTCTACCGCATGTCTTTGGACTGTGGGGGGAAACCCGAGCACCTGGAGGAAACCCACGCGAACGTGGGGAGAACATGCAAACTCCAGACAGAATTGCCAACCGACCCAGCCGAGGCTTAAACCAGCGGCCTTCTTGCTGTGAGGTGACAGCACTACCTACTGCGCCACCGCATCGCCACATTTTAATATAAATTAATATAATTTATCTGTGGGAATTGCGGTGGCACAGTGGGTAGCACAATCGCCATGCAGCAAGAAGGTCACTGGTTCAAGCATCAGCTGGGTCAGTTGGCATTTCTGTGTGGAGTTTGAGTTTGCGTGGGTTTCCTCCGGGTGCTCCAAGACATGTGCTATTGGTGAATTGGGTAAGCTAAATACTGTCAGTGGGCACCATCTTTCGGATGAGACGTTAAACTGAGGTCCTGACTCTCTGTGGTCATTAAAAATCCCATGGCACTTTTCATAAAGAGTAGGGGAGTACCCCTGATGTCCTGGTCAAACTTCCTCCATGCATCAGCCCTACTGATCATTGCTTCCCAATCATCCCCATCTACCGTATTGGCTATATTACTGTCTCTCCACTTCACCTATAGCTGGTGTGTGGTGTGCACTGGCGCCGTTGGCTTTTCCTGTGGCTGCCGTCACATCATCCAAGTGGATGGTGCACACTGGTGGTGGTGTGGAGAGACCCCTTCTCATGTTTGAGAAGTGATTTGGGTGTATAACCATACATGATATATGCGCTATATAAATACACATTACTTGCTTACTTTAACAGAAGAAGATTCTTCTAACACATTGTTTTAATAGATAATCGTTTTAGTAAATAATTACTAATATCTAATTTGTTTTATCTTAGCCATGATGGCAGTACATAATATTTTACTAGATATTTTTGCAGGATACTAGTATGAAGCTTAAAGTGGCGTTTAAAGGCTTAATAAGGTAAATTAGGCAAATTAGAGTAATTAGGCAAATCATTGTATAATGGTGATTTGTTCTGCAGACAATCGAACAAAATATTGCTTAAGAGGGTTAATAATATTTATCTTAAAATGTTTTTTTTTTTTTTTTTAAGTAAAAACTGCTTTATTCTAGCCAAAATTAGACAGATAAGAATTTCACCTGAGGAAAATATTAAAGGAAATACTATGAAAAATTCATTGCTATGTTAAACATCATTTGGGAAATATTTTAATAATTTTGACTTTAACTGTATATAACAAAAATCTTATTGGTAAAAGAAACAAATAAATTACAAGACCAGCGATAATGAAATGAAAGAGATTAAATTACCTATATGTTTTAAAGTCGACCAAAACAACCACTCAAAGGGCATCCAATCAATATTTGTGCGTTAACTTCCCATCAGTCGGTTGAAGGCCCCCAAAACTTGATTTTATATAAAAAAGAAAACAGAAAAATGACAAGACCAGCAATGATAAAATGCATCTAACCATTTTGAATGGAAGATAATACATTTCCCATATCATTTAAAGTCGACCTCGAACACGCCAAAGTGCATCCAGTCAAATTTGTGGCACAAATGCATGTGTCACTAGCTTGAAGGCACTTAAATTAAGAAAATGCATTATTATCATCCTGTGTGATGTGTCTTCATTCCTGGAAAACTGTGAACAAACCTGCTCAAGGTGAAAGAAAAAAAAAGCCAGACTGTGCTGGATACAGATTAATGTGATGAGCGAGAGGAAAAGAAGGACAGAATGTGAAGCGGGTGAAGGAGGGTGTGGGTCACACAAGAGTGTCTGAGTTTTATGTGGACATTTGGCCGTGGCCTGAGGTTTACTGGCCAGATCTTTTGACTCTGAGCTCAGTCCGGGGCAGATGTTGAACAGGTCATCATCTGCATCCTCTGCTGATCTCACTCGCCAGCTTTCCACCTGTCCTTACAGATGATACTCAGATCAAGGGTCACGGAGAGGAAATCTAAGTGCTTTTATACATTTTCAGTGTTGATAAACTGCAAAAGAATCTCGCTCAAACGCGTAGGCAACATCCATCAAAATGTCTTTTGCTGCTTGTTCAAACTACATATTTAAAATGAGTTCACACTCAATTATTTTTTTTTTTTGAGGACACCTTAATTGTTTTATGTTCAGTTCACTTACATTTGTAAAAAATATTTAGTTGACTTAATCGATTTGTGTTGTGGCAACATAAAGGAACTGTTTGGAACCCACCACTAGTCCCAACCTGTAAACCCTGAACACCCACAACCAAACCCCAGTCCCAACCCTTAAACAATAAACCCTTAGGGTTTTGGACTGGGGTTTGGGTGTGGGGTTAGGGGTTGGGATTGGGGTTTGTGTGTGGGAGTTTAGGGTGTGAGATTTAGGGGTCAGGAAACTTTAAGTTTGTTACTGGGAATGATTTGATTGTATATATAACATACACAATGTTATTGAATGTATTCAAGTAAAATTGGGTTCTGTTTATTTGCATAAAAGGTGATATGTGCATTAATAATATAACAACACATCTAAAATATAAGCATATATTAATTTTAATATATGAGATTATAATATAAGGTTAAGGCAGAGACATTTGTTTCTAATTACTTAAAATATATAAATATCGGTAAAATTATATTCCATTGTCATTCTACATTATGTAAAAATAATAACAACACACTTATTCTATTAAAACACATTTTATATATTACACATTTTTACTAAAGATTCATAATTTTACTTACAGAAAAAAAATGTCAAACCTACACATTAATAATGTACATGGAAACATTTGCACTATTACACTTTTAAAATTGCATTTTTAAACTTCAGATCTTGCCTAAATTGTTGACATTTGAGTGAGTTTTTCATTGATAATTGTCCATATTAATGAGGTAATAATTAAACACGATACTGAGAGTGATAAACTGATGCACTTGACAAATTCCCCTCCAACATTTGCTTATTCAGCTTTAAAAATCCTTTATTGTCATGGTTCAACGATATGTTATTTTTTCTTGAATTCTATCTTTGCGATTAAATTTTTCAAAGGCTTTTGAAAGCTTTTCAGATGGCCAGTAATGCAGGGCATCCAGCGGTGCGATAAAATCACTGTCAGTATGAACAAGGCTTAAGACACATCCTAATCCCAATCACCCCTGTCCAAATGTACAGCTTATCTTTCCTGTTTCCTGAAAGTGTGCCAGAAAATCCCAAAAGCTCGATCTGATTTAGGATGATTGAATCGTACCAGTCTTTCAATTTAGAGAGAAAGAGAGAGAAAGTCAATCAAATGTTGAAGAAGCGAAAGATAGAGAAGGAAAAAGAAAAACTGGGTCTTGATTTCAGTTACTAGCTGAACTCAAGCCAGATCCTCCCTCCCCATTCTGGGGACCTCCATTTGCACATTCAATGCTCTTCCATGCCTGTTAGTCAGTACAAATAAACAAGCCTAATACGGATTTGGAAGTGCTGTACGTGTGTGTGCGGTTGAGGTTACGGGTCACCAAAAAGTTTCTTGTTTCAAAGGAAACAAAAGTATGGTGGGTGGAAAGGAGGGGAATGTTTCCACCATGCAAAAAAAAAAGCAGCATGAAGTCCACCGAAAGAGTAAGCGAACGGGAGGGAGACGCTTTTGTTGTATCCAGAGTTCCCTATCTTTACCAGATGACACAGTATGGGAGCCGGCCAATGCCTGTATAGTCCCAGCCTCTCGTCTCCCTACTTTTTTCCCCCTCATTTTTCTTGTTCCAACTGCTTTTGGACCGCTCCAGACCGGGGGAAGTTCTTCTCCAATTGTCTCATTTGAAAAGGACGAAGAAATCAACCCCTCCCTCTCTCCTTTTCTTCCCTCCCTCCCTTCGTTCACTCGTCCTCTCTCTCTCCCTCTCTGTCCTTCTCTCCATCCCCTCCCCCCGTGACAGAGCACACCTGCCTGATCTTGGCTGCAGGCGTCCACACAGCGATCAGCCCTCGGCCTGCCCCGCTGCACATCGGCTCCAGCCCTCTCTGGACTTGCGGATCTTCGTCTGCCGCTCTACGTGCTCCTGAACGTGCAGGTAAGACCAGCTAATCAAGAGCTTTTTCTGAGTGATGAAAAGTAGAGATTTTGATTGAGAGAACAGACTGACCATCTCAGAGAGAAGTAGATGGCTTGCACTGATGAAATGTGGGTATCAACCCTCGGGAATCTGCGGTTTGGTGGTTTCTGCAGTTCATTAAAGCTTGGTGCAGAATTGAGGAATTTGCAATGGTTTGGCTGTTTGCTTGATGCTTTATATGAGGTTTTCTCAGAATTTTCCTCATTCTGTCTCATCCTAATTTAACTGCAAATGAAAGGATATATGAGTTTCTGCCTTTTTGTGCCTTGTTAATTGCTGGTGGGATATGGGTGCTTTGATTACTCATGCTTGCATTCTGATGAGAAAACCGTCAACTGTATTTCAAGCCAGGGAGGTGCATGTTCATGCAAATTGATTGCCTGTGTGATTTATTAATTGTTCAGTTTTAGAAGATAGGACATTCTGTGACTTTTTTCCAAACTGTGACAATTTTCCCTGCTCTTTAAAACCCCTTCTTTTGTGAAAAAGCCATTAACTTTTTCGAGTGCCCTTATTTTCTCTCCTCCGACTTTTCCATCCCTGCTTTTCTTCTTTTTGTGCACCACTTGGCATTTAGAAAGAGTTCATGTGAGGCCTGGAAACACTAGAGGGTTTCTAACAGTGCTCTCCTCGGATAGATCTGTCTGGGGAGACGTTTTGTCCTCTGGCCTCGCTCTGCATCTGCTTGCCTCCACTCGCTCAAAGTCGCATCCTAAACTCTTTATCCATGGCATGGAAGCCAAAGTGCCTTCAGCCATATCGGCTGAAGGATGAAAGTGCTCTGAAGGAGAAAATGGAGAGATGGAGAGAGTAAGAGTGTGGGACTGGTGTCTCATTAATCCTTTAATGATATAGCTTCCTTCCAATCATAGGCAAGTCTGACAAGGCACTTCCTGGTAATCCCACCACAAAATTCCCAGCTAACTCAAAACATTCATTGGAGAGAAGAGAGGAAGAGCTGAGGGATTCAATGCATTTAACAATCAACTTTTTAAATGTAGGATAATCTTGCTGCTTTTTGATAAAGCAATACTGACATTTATATATATTTTAATGCTATTTTGGGTGTCAGGAACAAGGCTCAGAGGTTGTGGTAGTAGTTTGGGTGTGGGGGTTTAGAGGTTGGAATTGGTGTTTAGTGTGGGACTTAGGGTATAAGGGTGGGGACTGGGGTTTGGTTGTGGGTGTTTAGGTTTTACAGGTTGGGACTGAGGATTGGTTGTGGCTGTTTATGTCTTGAGTTTAGGGTTTTTGACTGGGGTTTGGGTGTGGGAGTTTAAGGTGTGGGGTTCATAGGTTGGTATTGAGATTAGGATTGGTTGTGAGTGTTTAGGGTCTTGAGTGTGGGAGTTTAGGGTGTGGGGTTTGGGGTTTTGGACTGGGGTTTGGGTGTGGGAGTTCAGGGTGTGAGATGTAGTGGTTGGGGTTTTGGTATGGGAGTTTAGGGTTTAAGGGTTGGGACTTGGGTTTATTTGTGGGCATTTCGGTTTTACAAGTCGGGACTAGTGTTTAATTGTGGGTGTTTAGGATTTACAAGTTGGGACTGATTATTGGTTGTGGGTGTTTAGTGTCTTGAGTTTAGGGTTTTTGATGACTGAGGTTTGGGTGTGGGAGTTTAAGGTGTGGGGTACATAGGTTGGTATTGAGATTTGGGTGTGGGAGTTTGGGGTGTGAGGTTTAGGGATTGGGACTGAGGTTTGGGTATGGAAGTTTATGGTGTGGGGTTTAGGGGTTGGGATTGGGGTTTGGGTGTTTTGAGTTTCGAGTTTGATACTTTAATAGTGGAGATTTTTTTTGTTTGTTTTCTTGCTAGGGATTGGGGTTTGGTAGTTTAGGGTGCGAGGTTTAGGGTTTGGGTGGTTGAGGTTTGAGTTTGATATTAAGAGTTGGAATTGGGTTTTTGGCTTGAGATTGGGGTTCAGTTGTGGGAGTATAAGGCCTGGGCTTTAGAGTTTAGGACTGAGGTTTGGGTGTGAGAGTTTAGGATGTGAGGTTTAGGGATTTGATTGGGCTTTGGTTTTGGGAGTATAGGGACTGGGGTTTATGGTTTGGGACTGGGGCTTGGGTGTGGGAGTATAGGGGTTTTGATTGGGGTTTGGGTAAGGGAGTTTGTGGTTTGAGAGTCAGGTTAGTATTGATGTTTAAACTTACAGGGTTTGGAGTTTACATGAGGTTAGGATTGGGATTTAAGTGTTCAGGATTAAGGTTTAATGTTTTAGGTTTAATGGTTGGAATTTGCTATGTTTATTTCACATTGTTAGTCTTGAGGTGAACAATTTATCTGTGCAAGTTAATTAATTGAAAAATCTTTCTGCTTTTCTTAATCTTCAATCAAAATTGGACCATTTGCTTGTGCATTTGGAGAAGTGGTTCTTTGTTTGTGTCAGTTTGACAGCTTCTGCCACAGTATTCTTAACCACGGCCCTCTACAAGCGAATGAAATGCAAAAGGAAAACCCCGCCGCCTGCTCAATATTCTGTTTCAGTTGGACATACATGAACATCCTGAATAAAAATCTCTTCTGGTGCAGACTATAAAGTTTGGGGTTTACATGTTGGGTGTGGATTAAAAATTGGGATTGAGGTTCACAATTTATCATTTAAAGTTTAGAATCAGGCTTTTAGGGTTAGTGGTAAAAAAAAAAAAGTTCATATTTGTATGACTTACAACACTCATTAATTTTAAACAAAGTACACACAGTTTGACCCATGACAGGAAAATTTGCCCCTTTCTTCCGCCCTTCAAAGACAGCATCCTCAGGCCATGCAATAAGTATACATTAGAAGCCAAAGGTCTCTATTTGACTCCAACTGTGCAAAGTTAGAAAGAGAAAGTCATTAAATGGGGGTCTTGTTGTCCACTGCCTGTTGTCCATCTTAATTTGTCTTTAACTCTATGAAGAAAAGATACTGGGGCAGTTGCTTATGACAGATGGGGAGTTTATTTGAAAACGGAAGTGAGAGGATGAGCAAAAGAGTTTCTGTATGTTGAATGTGAGCGAGTGGAGTTGACCTAAATTAAGGCCATTGCAGTCATGGCCATGTGCTAACAAGTTTAAAAAGTTTCTCAAGTGCCAAAATAATCAGCTGGCTTTCAGCATATAATTGCTTATTAAACATACAAACAACTTTTTGTGGCTTTTGGGGTAGGTTCTATTGAAGCACACCGTTTTCTGTTGGCTTTAATGATGGTTTTGATCTGTGAAAGTCTAATTGTGCTCTGGCTGTTGCTTTGGAGTTTGGTTTAGTGGTCTGGAACCAGTATAACCACTGAGGGCAGAGTGGTCAAAACCCTTGTATGCTGGTGTAGTCCAGGAGTACAGTTTTGCTGAGCTGAATATTAAGTCCACATTTAGTATGATATCCTTTTGTGCTTTTCTTTTGATACATTACTCATTGGAATGATAAAATAATTACATTTCTGAAACATTTTCTCAGAGTTTGGGAAATTTGGGTATTTCAGCTTTCAGTAGAGGATTGCTTTCATAAATAAGAGGCCATTTCTGAGGCACAATGTTAAGATTGGCCGTTGTTTTGTAAGTTTTAAAATAAAGGGAGCACATATGTTTCAAATGTCCTGTAGCCTGTAAATACCTCTCTGTGAGTCATTGCTGAAAGGAGCAACAGGTCAACGAATGTGTGTATGCACGAAGAGAAAATAAAGTAGAGCTGTATTCCATTTTCCATAATCAACTTACACTATATTAATGAGTGCTAAAAACAGCATGTTATACAGTTTACAAGATACACTGCAAAGTGTTTGTAGTGCTCATTATTCAATATGGTTCATACGTATGTTTAACTTTTTAAAATGAAAACACACACAAGAAGTAAAATGGCATGATACATTGGATTTTTGGTTTTGCTTAAATGAGAAGTCTTGTTTTCTATTATGGATTTATGTGGTTGTTCTTTGTAAACAATGGAAGATGTTTTTTGGAAGTAACTGTGTCAAGATTTAAGCTTAAACTCTCTTATTTTTATATATATATGTTGAGAAAACAAGGCGTTTATAATTTGCTTCATTTTAAAAGTAAAAATAATCGTGATTTACCGATTGTTCACTCTAATGTCGTTCATAACATGACACATATGAACAAATATATTTTAGGCTTTTATTCACTATATATATATATATATATATATATATATATATATATATATATATATATATATATATATATATATATATATTTACAGTATATTTATATATAATATTTTTAATTTGACCGTAAAACACACACAGAGCAATACAAAAAGCAACAACAACTATAAAGACAGAAAAGAAACAGCATACAAATGTATGTTTTACACATATTTCTAGGCCAGTGGGCACAGGCTATATGGTGATCTTGCAAACAATGACAGGGTCATACCTTTAAACTGTTATCCTTGGCATTTGACAGATAATTAAAAAAGGGTTTCCAGGTGTCTTTGAAACCAGCAATTCTAGCAGAAAAATTGTATCAAAGTCTCTCTGAATGTAAAGTGCTAGAGAATTCTGAGCCAGGATTTAAATAGTGCTTTATTTACAAATAATCTTTGATCAGCAAACAAGTTTTCAACCATGTCTGCTTCACACAACAGAATAAATGCCAATGTATCTTATTGAAGCTCGAACACTCCATTTGACATGCAAGATTAACCCTTATTGGTTCTTGTGTGTCCATTTCAAAGATATCTTCTGATCATTGTTTATATTTGAATAAAATACCAAATTAAATCTGTTCATCATATAAGCTGATTGTATTTCAGAGGACTTGGATTACCTGCTCAAATTATATGGATTTATTTTTTTTTACTTTATAAATATTTTAAAGCATTTTAAAGCTTTGGGTGATGAGATGACTTCGGTAATACAGATTGAAAGACTGAGATTTTTGAGGACTCATTCTATCGAAAAATTTTTCAGTGTTTGGGGTTTATTTCTAAACTATCTAGATGAGCAGCCACTCAAAC